ACACACACACACACACACACACACAGCCCTGATTTGTCCTGTGGGCCAAAGGTTGCTGATCCCTGATCCCTGATTTAGAACAAGCTCCTTGACTTCAAATCTGTGATTTTTGTAGAGAAGCTACGGGTGGGGATCTCTGAGTGGGGTTCCTGTTGTTTCCTACTACAAAAAATCAGAAGCACTAGTGTGACCAGTGATAGATGAGACATCAGAGAGAAGTGAAAACACCATGGGCCTGGGTCTGTGTCTGATCCCAAAGGTTCCTATAATCACCCTCCCCCACCATACACACACAATGAGTGCTCACAGATGTCATCTTGAGCCCACGTCCGCTCCCTCCCAGTGCTTCCCTATCCCCCTGACCTGACCTCCACACTGGGGAGGCGGAGGCCCATGGTAACACGGGTGATGTTTCAGCCACCTGTGAGCTTCAAGGACGTGGCTGTGACCTTCACGCAGGAGGAGTGGGGACAGCTGGATCTGGCCCAGAGGAGACTGTACCGCAACGTGACTCTGGAGACCTGCAGCCACCTGGTCTCTCTGGGTAAGACAAACTCTGCCCATCACAGCAGTTTTCTGCTTCAGGGACTCAAAGCTCTGGCTCTTCTTAAGGGTATGCCTGGGCTGCACCAGAGCATTCCAGAAATGGATTCCTTTGAGATACAGATCCTGAATATTGCCACTCATTCTGTCTGAAAGGAGCCAAGCGTTTTGCTGGGAGCTTCCTTGGGATGTGGAGGGCCCTCCTAATTCATCCACATCTGACCCCAGGGACCGAGGGCTGGGCCAGAGGACACAGTTCTCCTCCGCTAGGCAGAGCACAAAGTCCTGTGTTTTTCCCCCATTGACCAGGGCTTCTGCTTTCCAAACCGGATGTGATCAGCTGGCTGGAGCAAGGACAAGACCCATGGAGGGCAGGACAGGGACCTCCCCGAGGTGAGTGCAGGCCAGAGACCTGGTGAGTTAACGTGGTGAGATTGTTTCCTGCAGGACCCTGGGTCTGAGGAGGGGAGGAGGAGCACGGAGCTTCCCTGCATCCAAGGCAACCACATTCTCATCCACATAGGTCTGTCCCTCTGCCCCCAATCGATGAAAAACACATGTCGGGCGCCTGGGTGGCTCAGTTGGTTAAGCGACTGCCTTCGGCTCAGGTCATGATCCTGGAGTCC